AAATAGAAGGAAGTGGGTTGAAAGGAGACGAATAGTTACCTAGGTTGTGAATGTGTATAGGCTTGCATTCGTTTGCTGTCTTATAAAGTATGCCCACTTCTTACATGTGTGTTTTATCTGCTAACGGCTAAATCATCTCAAACTACCTGCTTTGAATTTAACCTGGTTTATAGTAACCTGGTTTATAGTAACAAATTGAAACATGACCTTATCGGCCTGGGGAGGCTATACCAGTGTGCGGCACCTTGAGAAAGTGCATGAAAACCTATATCACGGATTGAACCAAACCTTGTGAGTGAAATTGGGTAGACGCCACTATTTGGTAGCAGTCGATGGTTGTGCTAGCACGAAGTCACAAGTCATCGTGATCGAGGGTCTGAGAGCGTGCTGGCCTTCTTCCGACTGTTGATCACGACAGATAATGAAATCTCTCTCTGAAACTGTAACTAAGGTCCGCTCAGCATAGTTGCAGTACAAACCACAGGTGGGCTCCGTAGGTATGGAACAAACACAAATGTACCTGAGCAGGCGTCTGTAACAGGGATTGACTAACGGCTTCAGTAGACAGGTAAACTCGGATATGAGCGGTCAGCCAACACCGTCACCAGTTACGAGTACAACCATTTTCGTATCAGATATTATTTATATATATTATTTACAGTTGAACTCGCAAAAAAGACTGCAAAGAAGAGGTGCAACACCCCCCACACACACACAAAAAAAAAGCGGCGGCATAGGCAGTTAAGCTTAACAGTTTGACAGACAAGGCAAGGAGAACATTATGCTTAAGACTAGAAGATCTTTCTTTCACAATAACGTTCACCCTGTAAAAAAAAACAAACCCAAAAGTCGCTTTGTTGAAGTTATATTTTGGAATACAATTTGATTTATGAAATTGTAGGATATTATATGCCATGAAAGTCCTTTCATGTTGATTGTTTGGTAGCATTTTACATGGATTTGCTTGAAATTGCTACAATTTGTTAGTGTGTGCGTATTGTTGCTAGTTTTACTATAAATATGTATTGTTGGTAATTTTACTGTAAATGTTTCGTTTGGTAATTATTTTATATAAAAATGTTTTGTTGGCATTTCTATATTTTCATAGTGCTTTGTTTTTGTTTAGGGGTTAACTATTTGCCCAAAGCTGGGACCCTAACAGATGCTACCACCTCGGATCAGGGTGGATCTGGGAACAACCGCAACTAAGCGGTGGTTGCACGTTCCTCAAAATCTCCAATCTCTTGATCAGAGGCCTTTCCGCCGGGTATAGTTTATCGTCATACTCTCGTGTAAGTCAATCTTTTCAAATATTTCAACTAGCTCTTCATGCTATACCACCTCAAATACCTTTGTGCAATCTTTGAAACATAGGTATTGGCCTTTCTGCATTTGTATTGCTCCTTCCGGTAGCATTGTTACCGTAAAGATAACATTTCTTGTTTCATTGTCATGAGGAAAACCACGTTATTATTTCCCTATTTCAGTTTAATTCTGCCGAGTTCTCTATTCCTTAGAATATAAGTAACAAGATTACTAATTGTCATCGACCTGATGGCAACTCTACTGAGGTCTTCCAGTATTTCACCGCTGTCATATAATTCACTTTTTCTTTCGTTAGTCTTATCAATCCCCAAATCGTCTAAGGTCGACAGTTTCTCTATTGCAATTTCATTTGGTCTAACGAATTTATTTCTCTTCGTCTTGTTCAGTGACAATCTTACCTAAGATTTCAGTACTATAAATCCTTATATGTTCTTTATATACATTGTTGATTTATTTCCTCTATTGTCATGGAAGTGCTCTCTGATCTGTTCGTCCCATCTCTGTAGTATATTTTATTTTTCTTTCCTAACTGTTCCCTTTTGAGATTTTAAAAAGAACATGTCGTTTGTCCGGTAACGTTTTTTTTTTAAGTTATTTATTATTCATGTCTGTAATGTCTGTGATCAGCATTTTTTTTCTATTTCTATACAGTTCTCGTTGAGTTATTCATTTTTTGTTTGCTTACATTTATTTTTAATGTTGTTGTCTAATATCTTTTGTATTCAGTGCCATTCCCGGGCATTATCAACTGTCACTCTTTCACTACCTAAACTTTTTATTTGTCTTTCTGCATGTGGGATGAAACTTTTTATGTGGTTGTTTGCCATCCTCGAAGTGAACTAATAAATTCGTTTTGAAAAAGGCAGGCAGCCTTCAAGTTCATCGAATTTGATAGTATATATATATATATATATGAAGAAATATAGTCTTAAGATGGGCTCTATTTATGGGATAAAGTGCTCAATATCAGAGATACAGTGTGTGTAAATATAAAAGTGAATATAGAAGTCAACACTTAGAGGCGACAGTCTGTTTTATGATAGATGCAATCGTCAGGCCTGACGATTTCATTTAGCATGAAACAGCTTGTCGCCTCTAAATGTCGAGTTCAATATTCACTTATATATATATATATATATATATATATATATATATATATATATATATATGTGTGTGTGTGTCACTCTTTTTCTCAGTATGTATGTGCAATACAATCTCTTAAAAGAATAGAACGTATTTACAAACGCAGATAATGTCACCTACAGTCACATCGCGGCACAAACGACTAATGTACAAGTTTAATCTAATCTACAAGTTTAATCTATTTCAAATAATAAAATTAAAACAAAATAAAGCATAAAAATAAATTAAATTAAAATAAAATAAAATAAAATAAATATGAATAAATCATAAAAATAAGTATAACAAAATAAAATAAAAAATAAAATAAAAAATAAAATCACGGCCATGAGTCATCTAAAACTTTATCCTAAAATACTGGAACACAACACGTTTCCCTCTTCCCTACTCCTCATATGCTTCCAGTGAACTATATATTACGCCAATATAAAGGGGAGTAATACATTAGATGATTGCTTAAGCTGTGAAATTGGCAGTTATGGTGCAGCGTTGATTTCGATGTCCATAACCTATCTATCTATCTATCTATCTATCTATCTATCTATCTATCTATCTAGTATGTTCCTCTCTCTCTCTCTCGTGCTTCTTTTCATTCATCTTAATCCTTGCTGCCAAGATGTAATGTACAAGAACTCCCGTCTTGACCATGCAGTCAGACGTTAAAGAACATTACAACATTCACGCAAGAGCCGAAATGCGACTCTCTCTAAGCCGTTCAAACAGAAAAGAAGACGTGGCTACATAATCTTTTCCTTACCCTCAGCGTGAACGGAAAGAAACATATGTCAGTGACTTCAAACGAATCATCTCCAGCAACAACAGCGTGGCTGACCACATATGAAGAGAGAAGGGAGATCACCGTCCTCTGTGGGATCAGGTTGAGATCATAGACAAGGAACACCATTGGAAAATTCGTAAACTTAAGGAATCAGCACATATGCTAGGCCACAAAAATCTCCTGAGCCGACCAAGCATAGAAATAAATACAATATGGGAACCAGTAATATGGAGTGCCCGAAAAAGGCGATAATAAGAACAAAGTCGCAATATGAGCTCTGGTAAAAACATTCAATGACAAACAGCAAAATTGCAATATTAGCACTGGTAAAAATGGTTGCTGAAGACATTAGGTTTATAATACCCAGAAATTCATACACAGATGTCCTCAACACATAGCACAGTGACCTATATATTAAGCCAATATAAAGGGGAGTAATACATTAGATGATTGCTTAAGCTGTGAAATTGGCAGTTATGGTGCAGCGTTGATTTCGATGTCCATAATCTATCTATCTATCTATCTATCTATCTATCTATCTATCTATCTATCTATCTATCCCAGCCGCAACATTTTCTTTCTTTCTATCTATCTATCTCAGCCGTAACATTTTCTATCTATCTATCTATCTATCTATCTATCTATCTATCTATCTATCTATCCCAGTCAGTTCTATTATGCTTATTATGTAGCCTTGAAAATCAGAATGGAAATCCTTTCGTTGATGCCGACACTCTACATATGCGTGGGTACACACACTAGATTAAATATAGGAACATATATGAATGAGCGCGTGACCGAGTGGTTAGAACGATCGGTTTCGAAACCTGGTCAATTTGTTAGAGGCCGGAGGAAGCAATCCTAATGTGAGGGATCTTTAGAAATTGACTTACGACAATGGTTATGCTATCAGGAAGTCATATCTCATCGTGACCGAGAATTTGAGCGTACTGGATTCATTCGAAATATTCAGATTCAGCGCTCTCTCCTAGAAATTGTAACTAAGGTTTACACTCTATAGTTGCAGTATAAACCACAAGTTGGTGCTGTGGGTGTTGAACTGGCGTCCGTTATAGGGCTTGGCTAGCTACCCTAACAGACTGGTGCGCTCGGAAACGAATGCCCACAAAACACACACACACATACACATATATATATATATATAATTCGACAATTATTTTAAGACATTTTTTATGTTTATGCATTCTTTTTATAGATACAAATATTTAATTAAATGCTCTGTTTACAATAAACAGTATTAAACAACATTTACCGGCCTGGATGTCCGAGAAATTTCCATAGAAAATATTCGTCCTCCGACAGGAATCGAACCTGTATCCTATACGGAACCGTCATATCCTATAACCTTTGACGAGGAGCCTTTTAACCGATTGATTTAAACTTCAATCTCCCTAAATGCTCCATACATTCATATCTGCAAAGCTGTCCAAAGCAAAACCTCGCTCCGACAAACGTCTTACATTTTATGTTTGAATTTTATAGATATGAAACTTTATTAAACAACATTTACTAATTGATCTCCTTGGAACCTCTAAGAACTGAAATGACTGCGATTGAGCCACAGAGTGCTCCGTGCGGAAACCTCCGCTCCCAAACGTCTTATGAATTGAATTGAAACAATTGATCTTGAACGAAATGACAAGTTTTAGATCATGAAACCGACTGTCACCGCTTGGTGTTGAACTCAATGTCCATTTTTATATTTAAATACTCTCTATCTTTGACACACACTAGATCAAATATATAAAACGTTACGTCCCTGGGAATGACGCTGCAGAGTGGGAAGGGCCACGTCATCAGAGAGAGAGAGAGAGAGAGAGAGAGAGAGAGAGATGTTGAAAGTATTTCCGGATCTTAGTTTAGTGTAAGGCGACCAATGCGAGGGGATAATGTGAGGATTGAATTCAAATTAGTAATAATATTTTTCATCTCAACACTATATTTTTATCATATATATATATATATATATATATATATATATATAGATAGATAGATAGATAGATAGATAGACAGGGAGAGAGAGAGAGAGAGAGAGAGAAATGGCGAAAGTATTTTCGGGTCTTAGTCCAGCGTGAGGCGACAAATGCAAGCGATCAAGTGAAGATTGAATTCAACTTAGTAACTATATTTTTATCATATATGTATGTGTGTATATATATATATATATATATATATATATATATATATATATATATATATATATATATATATATATATATATATATGTATACACTCAGAGAGAGAGAGAGAGAGAGAGAACGAGAGAGAGAGAGAGGGCGGTGTGTGTGGGAGGTATGAGTTTGATGCAATATTAAAATGCTTTTGAAGTATTGATTTAACACACGAAAAATCTTCATTGTTATATGAAATAATAATGACTTTTGTTTGTTTAAATAGTTTGTCAGTTTTTTCCCCCCGTGGCGCTAACGAGGCTATTCGAAGAAATAACATCTTTCCGAGCTAAGTCAGACCGGACACTCTTTTTGCTTAGTTCATTCATGATTTGCAAGCGAAAAGAACCGCGGACTCGACAGATTTCTCATTGGCTCGTTTCCAAAAATTCTATTTCAGAAATCTCGAGTTGCATAATTCTCCTTCCGCCGCCGGTGCCTGTTTTGCAAATTAGGACAAGAGACGTCGCATAACACCTGAAAAATTCAATAATTTGAAATTTTAAAGATCAATCGACCTGCTCTCGGCAAATCAGTGCTGTTATCGAACAAATAAGCCAAGAAAACTGTATAATTTTTTTTTTACCTGTCGAAAAATAACAATTCAATAAAATGTTTGAATAAAGTAAGGATAAATTCACACAACTGTGGCGTTGTATGTATGTATATGATAAATTTTTTGGAGAATCTCTTAGTCTGTTAAAAGGCTAAATGAAAAAAAAAAGACTGCATTGAATCAGTCTTTCGGATGCGAAGGAACTGTTTTAAATACTAAATTTCGTCTAATAAAAGACCCGAAAGCCACTCAAAGTAGAGGGTCACTGTTAAAATGGTTATGATGAACGAAGGTAGGAATGAAAAAGGTACGAATTAAAGATTATGAATTTGGGGATAGGTCACGATTGACTCTTGAAGAGTTTAAATCTGTAGTGTTAAGGGAGGCACGCGCGTGCGCGGGAATCTGTTCCACAGAGTAGCAGTTGTTGAGAGAATCTTGTCTGAGTGGAAATTTCTACTTGTATTTTATGGCATACGGACAGTGAGGGTGACACGGCTTTATGGAAGTAGATTGGCGTGGTCTCGTTGTAAAGGTCTGAACTGCAGGAACAAAAGAATGCAGCACACCCGAACATTTGGCATGGAACAAGTACTTGAGTAACTATAGGCTATCGCTATTGTGTCCCTGGGAAAGAAGCCGCGGGGTGGGGAGAGCCACGTCATCGATGTTGAACTGGAATGTGACGATTGAAATAAAATATACCGTTTTTGATCTAATCTGACTCTTGTGGAGATATAGCATGGTAGAAAGTACAGTAGTGACTTCCACCTGTGATAGAATGAACTGATCGTGGTAACGGTAATTTTAACCGTTTCCTTATAAGTAAACATTCAGTATTCATTAACCGTTCAGCTTCTACTGTCGGTTGAAATTTATAAAATCTTGCCCTAAAAACAATTTTCAGGTTCCTCAAGTTCAGTAGCAGTTATAACTCTTTCCAGTATTGAGGTGTGTGGGGGGGTATTTCCTACCTTTTTAATTTGAAGTCGTGTGGAACGCCATCATCTTGATTATGTCATTGTTTTCTCTTCGAGTTACATATACTCTCCATTTTAGCTGTTGCTGCTGTTGGAAGTCTTTAAGTGACCTGGTTTCTGTTATTTGGTCTAACTCTTTGTGATTGTGTAGCACCAATCCATAAGGTTCGAAGAAGTGGAGATCCACAGGCTTCACTCGCTCAAAGCCGTTTTAAAGAAATGATTTGAGAAAGCGGTTGAAGACATCTGAAAGTTTAGGCATTTCTGATCATTTTGGTGACTTGTCTGGCGTCTATATGTGTTGTAGAGTAGTTTTCACAGTGGAGGATTGTATTTCGATAAGTCTTCCTAAATTAGGTTCGACGTACAAAACGTTAGGAACTTGAAATAAGAGTTAATGACGCAAAAATCGAGTTGTGATGGTTGGTACTTCAATGTCCGATATCGACTGACTCGCTCAACACCACTGAGCCCAACTGGCGACCGCTACTACTAATACTACTTATTATGTGTGGGAGAGTCTATTAATAATAGAATAGGTACGTTCAGGTATAACAATATGAAAATTATTTAATTTATTTCATGAAAGTTATTTAAGGACATAACGAGTTTTCAGAGTAATGCTTTGGTTTCTATGTCTGGTTTTCTTTGCAGTATTGGGTAAAACTACCACACTAATGCACCCTATTCTATTTTCAATTTCTTTATTTCTTAAATTGCTTTTAACTCATCTGTAAACCGAGGTATCTGAAGTGTTTGAAGTCCACAATCGAAATTTTTACGATAGATTCAAGGTTGGTGCCATCACTGGTTTCATTTCAATTCCAAATGATATTTTCTGTTTTGGAAAGGTCTATCTAGAGTCTTATTTCTTGGAATACTTGTTAGTGGATGTTTTTTGTCAAGCTTATTTTATAACTTTCCAGCCACTGTAGCCTTACGGCAGAAAGAAAGGAAGGAAGGAAGGAAGGAAGGAAGGAAGGAAGGAAAGAAGAAAGCAAGAAGGGGGAAATAAAGTAAGAAGAAAAGAAAAATGAAAGAAAGGAATGAAGAAAGAAAGAAACGTAGGAAGAAAGAAAGACACGAAGGAAGAAAGAAAAGAAGCAAGAAAGAAAGGAAGAATGAAAGGCAGAAAGAAAAGAAAAAGAAAGAAAAAAGAAAGAAAGGAATGAAGAAAGAAAGAAATAAAAGGGAAGAAAGAAAGAAGGAAAGGGTCGAAAGAAATGAACAGTAATTGTTTTTCACTCTTTATAATAAAAAAATAACAGACTTCACTCGCCCAAAGCCGTTTTCAAGCAATGATCTAAGAAAGCGGTTGAATACATCAGAAAGTTTAGGCATTTCTGAATATTTTAGTGCCTTGCCTAACGTCTATATAAAAATGTCGATCTGATAAAGTTATTTAAGAACATAACGAGTATTCGGAGTAATGCTTTAGTTTCTATGTCTTGGGTTTTCTTTGCTGTTTTCGATGAAACTACCTCTATTCTATCTTCAGTTTCTTTATTTCTTAAATCTCTTTTAACTTATCTGTGCACCGAGGCATTTGAAGTGTTTGAAGTCCACAATCTAAATTTTTACGACAGATTCAAGGTTGGTGCCATCACTGCTTTCATTCCAATTCCAAATGATATTTTCTGTTTTGGAAAGGTCTATCTAGAGTCCTATTTTTTGGAATACTTGTTAGTTGATGTTTTTTGTCAAGCTTATTTTATAACTTCCCAGCTACTGTAGCTTTATGCCAAACGAAACCAATAATGACTAAAAAATGTTATTAGGCGTCTTGACAGTGCTGACCAGAATGATAGCATCATCATTGGCTCGTATTTAGGTGACTCCCATCAGAGAGCCTTCGTAGCCTAATCTGTATGATAGCTCCAAAGGATTAGGGTTAGAAGTTCGAATCACACCTGAGGTTTGGTTCCGATCAACATTGCTTAGTAACGATATCAGAACAAAGGTTTTGGATTTTCTATAAAAAGTAACAGAAATTAAGATTACTCGTAAAATGAAGCTCCTCTTGGCTTTGTCGTACACAAAAATACGGTTGGTGAAAATGAAAAGACAAATTCTGTAAGTCTTCAACTGCAGCCAGTAGCAACAGCAGTTGTCAAAACATGACAGACAACAGCCGTTGTAACTCTAATCAGCAGGAAGATTAGGTTTAAAGCTCCAAGTTCACTACAGCAAATTGTCCTACGGGATAATGGCCTAATGGATTAAAGCGATTGTGAGCGAATTTGGTGACATAGTGATTGTGAGTTCAATATTGAGTACAAGTGCACACTGCTCTAGGTCGGGCAGTATGCACTTGCACAAAGTAGAAAGGGGCGAGAAACAAATGAACAGTACTAAATAAGAACTAGATATGAGCAGTGAAACAGTCTAACCTATTAAATTAAATAAAGTGTTCAGTTCAGAATTCACCCACATCAATGTACACCTGAGAAGGCCCGGATAGCACAATGGTCGAAACGTAATAGCAAGAACGAAGATAAGGACAACAGTCCTAATATAAATAGTTTAAATAAGCTTTGCATGGTCTGTATATAGTTTGTTCGTTTAGCGGCATATCAACATTTTATGGGTCATTTAATACCGAAATTTAATTTTCTTGTGAAACTTCGTAATTTCTTTTTTCAAAATTTCTTTTTTGTTTCCAAAATTATTGAAAACTTTTTAAAGTATGAAAATTTATTGCTGGTACTTTTATTATAAAATAATTTTTATATTCCATAGTGTTTTGGTCCAAGTTTGGGACCCTAACAGGTGCTACAACGCCGGCTCAGGGTGAACCTGGGAACAACAGCAATTATGAGGTGGCTACACGCTCCTCAGAATCTCCCGATCAGGCTTTGCTGCCGGATGTAGTTTATCGTCATACCCAGAAAGCTGGATATAGGGATGAACTAATTTTATACAGTAGCAAATCCTTTAGTTTGCCAGCTTTAAAAACATGACGAGGTGTCGATAAATATTTCTTTTCTTTACAGTTTCGAATATTCTGGCTTAACGCTATGGTATTATGATAAACTTTGAAGATCTATTTATATTAGAGAAGGATTTACGAGACCAGTTTATTAACCAGTGCTCTACAGGAGGCGCTTAGTTGTTATATGCTTGTCTTCGGTTATTGACGTCTATTTTAAATTGTTACATACTGTCGTTTTCGTGAAGTCTATTTGAAACAAAACAAATGAACAACAATTGTTTTTCGCTCTTTATAATAAAAAATAACAAAGTGAAGCTAGAAATATTTCTGTTCGGACTGAAATAAAAGATGATTAGTCTTTCATTAGTTCAGCGGACAACAGCAAATTTTAAATAAGTTCGATAATTACTTTTCACTGCAAATTTGGCGCGCCGAAAGAAACAGCAAAGCAGACAGCAATAATGGCGGAAAAAAAGAAGGCGGAGAGAAGATGGAAGGACGGCGCAAAACAGAGAGATAGAGTGAGAAGAAGAAGAAGAAGAAGAAGGAGAAGAAGAAGAAGGAGAAGAAGAATGAAAGTAGTAGTAGTAGTAGTAGAAGAGAAGAAGAACAACAAGAAGAAGAGGGGTGAGAAATATTAAGAGAAGAAGACACAAGAAAACAGAATATAGAGAAGAGTATGAGTAAAAAGAAGAAGAAAAAGACAATGATGAGGAGGAAGAGGAAAATCTAGTGAAGGAAAAAGAAAACGACGAAGAAATCGGGAAAGACATACCGATGCAAAAGACGGCGAAAACAGAAGAAGACAGGACCGTGAATGGAGAAAAAAGAAAAAAGAAAAGGATAATAATGAAGAGGAAAACAATTAGTGAAAGGCTAATGAAGAAAAAGGAAGAAATGAATAAAGAAAGAAAGAAAGAAAGAAAGAAAAAGTCGGGAAATTAAAAGAGAGAAAAATGCCAAGGGAGTAAAGAAAAAAATGCAGAGAGAAAAGAATAAAACGAAGAATAAAGAAAGAAAGAAGGAAAGAAAGAAAGAAAGAAAGAAAGAAAGAAAGAAAGAAAGAAAGAAAGAAGAAGCTTGGAATGTGAAGAAAAAGTGAGGAGAAGAGAAACAGAAGAAATAATGTAAGCAGTTTAGAAAGTGAAGAAGACAATGTAAAAAGAGAAAAAAAAAAAAACTACCAAAAAGAATGATGCAGATAGGAAAAAGGAATGCATTGAAAAGAAGGAACGAACGAATGAACGAAACAAAGAAAGAAAAAAAAGAAAGGAAAAAAGAAGATTTAGAAAGAAAAGTGGAAAATATAGACAGGGAAAAAAAGTAGTAGATGGAAAAGAACGAGAAAAATACAAAAAAAAAAAAAAAGAAATTGAAAAGGAAACAGATAAAAAGATTTCCAGAAAGTAAAGAAAGTAATTTGGAGGAAAAAGAAGAAAACGGAAGAAAGAAAGAAAGAAAGAAAGAAGAAAAGAAGAAAGAAAGGAATGAATAAAGAAAGAGTGGAAGAAAGGAAGAAAGAAAGGTAGGAGCGAAGAAAGAAAGAAAGAAAGAAAGAAAGAAAGAAAGAAAAAAAAAGAAAGAAAGAAAGAAAGAAAAGAAAGGAAGAAAAAAGAGAAAGAAAGACAGAAAGAAACAAGGAAGGAAGGAAGGAAGGAAGGAAGGAAGGGAGGAAGGAAGGAAGAAGTAGAGAAAGAAAGGAAGGAAAGAGGGAAGGAAGGAAAGAAGAAAGGAAGTAAGGAAGGAAGAACGAAACAAAGAAAGAAAGAAAGGAAGGAAAGAAGGAAGAAAGGAAGAAAAAAAGGAAAGAAGGAAGGAAGAAAGGAAAGTAGCAGCAAAGAAAGAAATGAAGGAAGGCAGGAAGGAAGAAAGAAGGAAGGACGGAAGAACGAAACAAAGAAAGAAAGAAAGAAAGAAGGAAAGAAGAAGTAAAGGACGGAAGGAAGGAAGGAATGAAGGAAGGAAGAAAGAAGGAAAGAAAGAAAGAAAGAAAGAAAGAATGATGTCCAGAAAGACAATGTGGTGAGTAAAGAAGGAACATTTTGACAGGGAGTGGAAAAGAACACACTGACAGAGAGAGAGAGAGAGAGAGAGAGAGAGAGAGAGAGAGAGAGAGAGAGAGAGAGAAGAGTCAGAGTAGGAAAATCAGTGATATAAAGAGTACGAGAGAGACAGTGATGAGTCAGAGAGGGAAAATCAGAGAGGCAGTGTGATATATATATATATATATATATATATATATATATATATATATATATATATATATAGCTGTCTGCGTGCAATCTGTGGAGTTAAGCTTCAAGATAGGACATCTAACGTAGACCTGTTTAACAGGTGTAATATTGGAGGAATCGAGACTTTTATCATACAGTCTCAGTTACGGTGGACTGGTCATGTCTTGAGAATGTTTGATGGCAGGATACCCAAGATCCTAATGTACAGCCAGTTAGATCAGGGCTACAGGAATGTAGGACGCCCATGGTTAAGATACAAAGACAAGCTGAAAAGCAACTTGTCAGCAGTCAATATACCACATAACGCCCTTGAGCGCTTAGCCTTGGAGCGGGTAGAATGGAGATCAACGTGTTTTAGCGGACTCAGGAATTTTCAGTCTGCTTGTCTGAATCATCTTCAAGAAGCGAGAGCAAGATCTAAAAGATCAGCCAATCTAACAGTGATTTCATCTCACAATCTTCACACTTGCTCCATATGTGGCCTCCTTTGTAAATCACTAGCGGGTCTTAAATGCCACTTAAGATTATTGCACAAACTTTCATAACTGAATCAATTAAGCTGTCAGATCCTCATACGTCGAAACCGACGGAAGAGTCCATTATTTTATATGTATATAGATATATATGTATTATATGTATGTATATAAATATGGTGATTCTTGACAGAAGAACATCATCTTCACAACAAATTCCTTTCGTTTTTTTTCTTTCAGACTCCCCGATTATGAGAACGCAGATGATTCTTTAAACCAGCCTTACTTTTACAAGCTTTTGCGCAAATGTTTTACGTGAAAGGGAGATCCTTAAGCCCAGCCGGTATGGCATCAACATGAATTTTCATGTGTCTTGTTAATTCAGAAGCTGACTTGCATACTTTATGGCAGAATGTACAATAAGGCCGAAGGATTGATTGCTGCCTTCTTGCAATTGATCGAGCCTGATGAGACCTAAGCTGACTTTGAAGACCTGTCTTGGAAAGAGCAAAATTTCCATATAAACTACATACATGTTGTAAGTGTAGGGCGGAGGGTAGCGCTTTAAGGAAGATTGCATTTAACCTTAGCATGTTTCACCTTGTCCTTTTCAAATTGGTGACAACCTTGATGAACTGTCGTTCTTCCCGAAGGTTGACATTTCGCCTCTAGTTCCCACGTATCAAGTGATATTCCAAGCGCTTTGATGCAATCTTTAAGGCGCTTTCTAGGTTTGTGTCCGGGACCCTTTCCTGCAGATAGTTCACCATAAAAGACACATTTAGGCAACCTTGAGGGATCCATGCGCACCAAGTGACCTGCCCAGCGCATTAGATTGAGAATGATTAGCTTCTCAGTGCTGGGGATATTAGCTTTCTCCGGAATGTCAGTGTCAGGTACAAAAGACTTCCATGAAATATTCATGATTCTTCTGAGGAACTTTTGGTGGACTCTTTCAAGGGGGCTAATATGACGTCTGTATGTTGTTCATTTCTCTGAAGAGTACAAATAGGCAGTCAAAACTCATGACTCATAAACCTTTACCTTGATGTTAAGTGTGATGTTTCTGTCAGACTACACCCGTTTCTCCAATCATGCAAAAGATTTAGTAGCTTTCTCGATGCGGTGATGTATTTCAGCATCTAGTGTCCCATCTTGTGAGAGTGTGCTTCCAATGTATACAAAGTTATCCACCACCTCCAGCCTCCTGCTATACACAAGTATTTTTGGTTCATGATACGGTTGACCAGGAGATGGTGTGAACATTACGTTGGTCTTTCTCAAATTGATAGCAAGTCCAAGAGACTTACATGCATCAGCAAAAATGATGGGTTGCTTGTCTTCCTCTGCATGAGCCACGAAGTCGACATCATCAGCATACAGAAGCTCACGAATAACTTGCTGAAACACCTTTGTGGAAGTATTAAATAATCGCAGGTCAAAAACTTTGCCGCTAGTTCGGAAAGGCAAATAACCACCAATTTTACACTTTCTAAAGGCATGTGTGAGCATCACTGCAAAATAGATGGAAAATAAAGTAGGTGCAGGTATGTCACCATGCTTCACACCATTCTCAGCAAAAACTGGTTCAGAGTACCATTGAAGTTCAATCTGGCTTTCATGTTGCTCTGCAGCTCTTTAAGCAGCCTGACAAATTCAGACGGGCAACCTAGTTTTATTAGAATTGTTCACAAAGCGATCCTATTCATAGGAACCTTTTATGAGTAGACCAAGAAGGTGATTCAAGAGATCAATTCTGGGAATGCACCAGGACTGGTTGGAACTCCCGTTGATGTGCTCTTACATGGAGGAAACGATATGACAAGAAGAATACATCATCTAATTTTAGATGTTCGGAATGGCACACATGTCCATCAGAACTGGATTGATGCCATTCTTGTGTCTATATAAATGGAAATGTCAAAAGTCAGAATGTAGCAACTACAGGGGAATAAGCTTACTTGAAGCTGTTGGTAAAGTTTTTGTCAAAATCTTGCTCAATTGTCTCCAAAGTCACGTCTGTTCTGAAGTGACACCGGAGTGTCAATGGGAGTATCGCACTGGTAGATGGACAATGGACATGGTCTTCACATCCCGACAACTGGTAGAAAAGTGCATTGAACACTGTTTCCCGCTCTACCAAGTCTTCGTTAACCTAAGGCGTTTGACACTGTGAATAGGATCTCTTTTTTGTTGAAAGAAAGTATTGCATATAGCAAAATTGAAGTTCGTGCAGAGCTGGAGAAGATGCAAGCCATTTCTGTTTACCTTACCAAGTCCACAACGACATACAGAGTCCCACGTTTCATGGTTTGCACCCACCCACGCATTAAAATCCCCCAAAAGAAGAAATTTATCAGCCTGAGGAATTTTTGATAGCGTTGAATGGAGGTCTTCTTAGAAAGCAATTATCATTTCCACACTATTAGACATGTTTGGACCATAGACAGAGATTAATTTCATGAATCTGTTTCCTTGCAGTGGCATAGAAATTGTCATGATTCTGTCAGTTATGTCTTGAAGATGCTGAATATGTGCAACAAGATCAAAATTTTATTGCAAACCCGACACCCACCTCATGTTTCTTACCCGCAGACTTATCTTTGCAGTAGAAAGTGTAGCCTGCGTTTCTTTCCATCAGTTAAAGCGGGTCTCAGAGAGAGCTGAATTGTCAGTTTTGTTCCTTGATAATTCCTTTGCTACAATGGCAGTTCTGCGTTCAGATCTTTTACTTTGAACACTATTTAAAAAGGGTCCTTACATTCTGAGAACCAACTTTCATGAAGTGTCTTTGATGATGAAAATTTCATTTTGACTTTTTGATTTTTGATTTCTGCATTTCACATGCAAAGATGAACGACAGTCTTGTTGAAAAAAGAACAGAGTTTTTATTTAGGTCACCATTTCTGGACACTTCCCAAATTCATGGGTGAGCAGTTTTTTCCCTGACAAGGGCTGCTCAGATGCTAAGGAATCCGCCGAAAGATGCTGCTGTTCAACCAGCATCAAACATCTACGTTAGATAACGTCCCAAAGCCGCCTATGTGCAGATTTGTGACTATGTGCTGCTAGCCCGTCAAGACTGCGCACGTTGTCATACTTCCATCGCCATACTTCCATCACCATAGGATTTTGAAGAGATATCTGTTCATTAAGATGGCGATACAACATGCTTGGGCGACACTTATGGTAGCCTCTTTATTCCTTTAAGCCTTTTTCAAGTAACAAGCATACGCGAAATGCCTGGACACCTACTGGGGCTGCATGTTTTTCATCATAGAATTTAACCTCTCTGTTGTCGGAAACAAGTTGTACTGGATTAAAACTTTGCTAGTAACAGTCACACCAGGTATCAGGACGGCCCTGACATAAGAGATAGCTAGATGGCTATTGACCTCTCAAAGAGGTTCACCCGCCCCTTATATATATATATATATATATATATATATATATATATATATATGTGTGTGTGTGTGTGTATGTGTGTGTGTGTGTGTGTGTGTGTGTAATTTTTATATATATTATTTATATATTATATATGCGTAGTACTTATTGGAAAGCGCTCAATATCAGTAATAGAGCTAACATCTCACATCAATCGAACTATATATATATATATATATATATATATATATATATATATATATATATATATACAGAGAGAGAGAGAGAGAGAGAAAGAAAGAAAAAAGAAAGAAAGAAAGAAAGACATGGTGAAAGTATTTTCAGATCTTAGTCCAGCATAAGGCGACAAGTGCAAGGGATCCAATGTGGATTTAATTAAACTTAGTAACAATATTTTTCATCACAACTTCATTGACCATTACGGGTATGGGTTAAAAATCAATATAAGTTTATGAAGTATCGAAAATAGAGAAAAGCGATTTAGCTACAAAAGTTAATATAATTGATTAATTGATTTGTTTTTCACGACCCATCGACCCTTTGCAAGTTACTTAAAGCCAGAAAATATTTTTAGATTTAAGAATTATTTTTGAAGATATTAATACTTTAATTATAAGAGTCTTACTAATTAATCTATAACTGAGAGGTGAAGAGGTGGTTTCATATCTTTCCCGAGGATATTTGCGCGTAAGTGAATATAACCAACCCAACTGGAATTGGAACTCAACTCTCAGATTAACAATTCCGAGCCATTATCCATTACACCACACGCTAATCTAAGATTAAAGCACCTGGTATTCCCAAGCGGTCACCCATTTAAGTACTAGCCAGGTTCGACGTTGTTTAACTTCAGTGATTTTACTAGAAACGGTGGAGATTTAGAAGAAGATTCGAATGACTTAACCTGCGAACGGACTATAAAATGTCGTTCAGGACAGGCCGATTATTTTCTCCTATCTTTTACTTTTATCTGTTTGGTTTAACGACATATCAACACTCCTTGGGTCATTTAATAGTAAATATGCATCTCAGAGGGGAAAAGAGCAATATGAATTTATAGACAGGTCAAGGTTACTGTTTATTCTAGAATAAAAAAGGTAAACATATATGAGGTTTACGCAAGAGTTTAAAAGACAGTCAGAGGTCCCGTTTCCACGTTAGATACGAAAAGGCAGATATCTTTCTACGCTAGAGTAAAAAAAAGGGAGACATAAGTACGGATTCTAAACGTGAGTCTAAATGTCGAGATAAGGCTGATTTTTTATAGTAGACATAAGTCCGGTTTACACTAGATTCCAAAAAGGTAGACATAAGTCCGGTTTACACTAGATTCCAAAAGGTAGACATAAGTCCGGTTTACACTAGATTCCAAAAGGTAGACATAAGTCCGGTTTACACTAGATTCCAAAAGGTAGACATAAGTCCGGTTTACACTCGACACAATAAGGTAGACATAGGTAAGGTTTACTTTCGACTCGAAAAACTAGACATATATCCGATTTACACTAGATTCAAAAAGGTAGAGATAAGTCCAGTTTACACTCGACTCAAAAAGGTCGACATAGTTCCGGTTTATACTTGACACAAAAAGGTAGACATAGGTCCGGTTTAGTTTCGACTCAAAGAACTAGACATAGGTCCGGTTTACATTAGACTCAAAAAGGTAGACATAGGTCCGGTTTACACTCGACACAATAAGGTAGACATAGGTAAGGTTTACTTTCGACTCGAAAAACTAGACATAGATCCGATTTACACTAGATTCAAAAAGGTAGAGATAAGTCCTGTTTACACTCGACTCAAAAAGGTAGACATAGTTCCTGTTTACACTCGACACAAAAAGGTAGACATAGGTCCGGTTTACACTTGACTAAAAAAGGTAGACATAGGTCCGGTTGACACGAGTCAAAAAGGTAAGCATAAGTCGTTTTTTGTAAACTAGACTTAAAAAGATAGATATAAATCTGATTTTTACTCTGTAGTAAAAAAAAGGTAGACATGAATCGGCTTTTTAATCTAGACATACGTGCAGTTTATGCGATAGTAAAAATGATAGACATCGGTCCGCATTACATGAATAGGTAAAAAGGTACACATTGGACCGGTTTACACTCGCGTAAAAAAGGTAAACGCAGTAGATTAAAAAAAAAAGCTACGGTTTATACGGCAGTAGACAAAAATCTGGTTTTATGCTAAACTCAAAAAAGTAGACATAAGAACGAGTTCTACTGTCAAAAAGGTAGATATTTACACTTGAATAAATGGTAGACTTCAGTGAATCTTTAAATAACTACACTGAGTAGAGTAAATTTAAACAATAATTAATGCTATTTGAACCATATAAAAATAATAGTATATATGTAATTGATATTCTAAGTCGTCACTATTATTAGTAGATTTTCACAGGTGAGTCTTTAAATTTGAGCACTGGCATTGAAATCTTTGGTTTTCCATGATCTCGAACACCGATTTCTGGTGCCAAAGGAAAATACGCAATCACCTTTAACATGACGCATTCCAAAGACAGTGTTCTCATTAAGAGAACTTTGGCGCAAGACTACGAATATGAACTATTGTGATGAATATAGACATTGTCAGTGACAAGCTAATTCTAGACACATGACGAATGTAGCTGGGGTTTTAATTAATATAGTTATCCATTTATCTCAATTTGAACATTCAGTTTAGGTCTTGTCGTATGCGAGTCAGAACCTGGAGGTTGTTGTTCAAATCTAGAGAAGAACCAGGTATCTATCTATCTATCTATCTATCTATCTATCTATCTATCTATCTATCTATCGATCTTAAACTTAAGGTACTATCTATCTATCTATCTTAAACTTAAGGTACTATCTATCTATCTATCTATCTATCTATCTATCTTAAACTTAAGGTACTATCTATCTATTTATCTATCTATCTATCTATCTTAAGCTTACGGTACTATCTATCTATCTTGAACTTAAGATACTATCTATCTATCTATCTATCTATCTTGAACTTAAGATACTATCTATCTATCTATCTATCTATCTCTCTATCTATCTATCTATCTATCTATCTATCTATCTATCTTAAGCTTACGGTACTATCTATCTATCTATCTATCTTAAGCTACGGTACTATCTATCTATCTTAAGCTTACGGTACCATATCTATCTATCTATCTATCTATCTATCTATCTATCTATCTATCTATCTATCTATCTATCTTAAACTTAAGGTATTATCTATCTATCTATCGATCTTAAACTTAAGGTACTATCTATCTATCTATCTTAAACTTAAGGTACTATCTATCTATCTATCTATCTATCTATCTATCTTAAGCTTACGGTACTATCTATCTATCTATCTATCTATCTATCTTGAACTTAAGATACTATCTATCTATCTATCTATCTATCTATCTATCTATCTATCTTAAGCTTACGGTACTATCTATCTATCTATCTATCTATCTATCTATCTTAAGCTTACGGTACTATCTATCTATCTATCTTAAGCTTACGGCACTATCTATCTATCTATCTATCTATCTATTTATCTATCTATCTATCTATCTATCTCTATCCCCCCCTCTCTCTCTCTTTATATATATATATATATATATATATATATATATATATATATGGTGGACTCTCCTTCATAATCGACGTATGAGTGTCAAGGAACCGGCAGCCAGACACCAGCACATATATGATTATAATGGTGAAGATTTTGTGCAGAGCCAAACACACTTTTTGAAGGGCCAAATACAAAAACCTGGTGCACAAGCGACCCTCTGCAGGCTTAAGAATTCAAAGTTGTACTTCTCCTAGACCAGTTGCCATCCAAGGCTATAGAACCCAGTCTGTCATGCTATTTATCTATAGCTGCAGGGAGAAGAAGAGGGTTCATACCTTTCCCAAAGGTATTAGCACTCAAGTAGATGTAAATGGATTCGACTGGAATTTGAGCTCTCATATCCGATTCTTCAATCCGAGCCGCTATCCACTACTCTATCCGTGCCTCTCTCTTTATATATATATATATATATATATATATATATATATATATATATATATATATATATATATATATATATATATATATATATATATATATATATATAAAACATGTTTACTTTCAGATGAACACAGACAGGCACACACAGACGTATATATACAGACACATGTATTTATATGTTTATGACTTTTGGTCGTGTGTGTCGAATTTACGTCAAGCGATTACTCGAGTCAATAGGATTAATTACAACGAATCTCCGAATGTGTGAAAATATATAGAAAATAGAAAAAAAAACTCGTTAGGTAAATAATCCAAAGTTCTTTTGTTATTATTTTAAAAATACAGTGCTCGATACATACATATATATATATATATATATATATATATATATATATATATATATATATATATATATATATATATTGTTAACAAGGCCTAAGAGCTATTGAAGGTAGAGGATTACAGAAAAGAGTTTGAAGAAAGAGGATAGAGAGGGAAAATTACAGGAAGTCAGTGACAATGCATCTAATCTTGTGTCTATGTGTGCGCGTGTGTTTGTGTGTGTGTGTGTGTGAGAGAGAGAGAGAGAGAGGGCAAAAAGAGGGACGTTTGGGGAACGAGGGAAAATGTTTTCAAAAGAGAGGGCTTACGAGCAAGAGAGAGAATAATACAGTAGTGAACAAGGAATGAGAAAGAGAGAGTATATGTGATACTGTGTGGGAGAAAAAATGAAGGAAGGATAATGTGTGTGTCTGTCTGTGCGTGTGTGTGTGTGAGAAAGAAGAGAGAGAGAGAGAGAGAGAGAGCGTGGAGTCAGGGGAGATTTTGCAAGCTAAGCTGACTGGCAAAACCAATGAATGTTGCCAAATAAGGACACAAAGTCAGTGAAGGAAAAAAACACAACAGGGTTACAAAAAAAAAAAAAAAAAGAAAAAAAAGAAGAAAAACCTGTAAAAGCAAAGTGACTCCTTGGAGAAAAAGAAAAAAAAATAGAGTTAAAAGACGGAGGAAGAAAAACGACCTGCACAAAGCTAACAAAACAGAAAATGCAAAAAATGCTATGTGTGTGCAAAAAAAAAAAAAAAAAAAAAAAAAAAAAAAAGAAAAGCAAAGAGCTTAATGATAAAAAAAAAGCATATGAAATCTCGAGTTATTTTCAATAATTGATCTCCATGGGGAATTTTTTCTGTACTTCAGATTGTATTTTCAGCGTTTGAGCTTATATAAATTATTTATAGCAAACGAAAACAGAGAAAAGAAAAAACTATATATATAGCTATTTTCAAAGCGTAGCTTAGATGTGGCACAAGGCCGAAAGTATGGGGCACCTAGTGAGGATCGAACTCACTTTTTAGTTGTAACTGATCTAACGAAACAAACTTGTAAACCATTACACCACGCCGAGGTGCCCAAAAAGAAACAAAAAAAAAAAAAAACTATATATATATATATATATATATATATATATATATATATATATATATATATATATATATATATATATATATATATATATATATATATATATATATATATATATATATATATATATATTTATATAAAAAACGCACAACCTTAAAATTTAAAAATTCAAACTCAGCGTTGCGACCGCACGTTCCAAAACAATAACACATTTCTCATAGCATTTTTCGGATTACATCTCTATTTTCGTTGTCCTCTTATTACCGAGAAGTAAAAACAAGAACAAATCTATTTCCATACCCGAGAATGTCTGTAGGAACAGACGAAGGCTTGTAAAAAATAAAAAAGACCTTATGCAACTGGAATTTATAAACAGGGATCATATCATTCATATACAGGTTCGGGGTTAGTGTATCTTATTAAAATTGTTTGCGAAGATCTATTCTCGCCATTTAAATCATTAACCTCTATATTTGTTTTTTTTTGTATGAATGATTCATGTAATTATAAATTAAAATTGCACCTATAACCGAATATATATATATATATATATATATATATATATATATATATATATATATGTTTGTGTGTGTGTGCGTATATATATATATATATATATATATATATATATATATATGTAAGGAGGTGCAGATAATTCTCAGCCCGATCAAGAAGCGTCACCTAAATTAAATGCTGATGTTTGGTCATTTGGATAACCTTGGGGGAAGTGGTTGAACCGATAAATGTTCACCACCTCGTTGTATCGTTGTATATACATATTAAAATTTGCTGTATTTATAGTGGACGAATCTGCAATATCGGCGATAGACAGTTTATGGATATAAGCAATGTGGAATTTCGACAACATGGTGACTGTTATTTGAATATCTCTAAAATTGTCAGTTAGGGACAGAAAGAAAAAACGAGGAAGCATAGAGTTGGCAGTAGTGATAGAAAGAGAATTAAAATGTATAGGGAAACCAAAAGAAAACTGAAAAAAAAAAAAGATATATTGTTCGGGAGGGCATGTTAAAATATGGAATCATACACTCTTGGATTTATTTCTGTTTTATGATGGACTAGACCAGTGTTTCCAAACGTGGTCGCCAACTTCCCCTCCCTGTAGACTCTGTGATGTTGAAAGGGAGCACTGGGCGTTTTTATTTTATTTTGGGGTGCTGAACTTACTCAGAGTGACGTGGGTTTATCCGCCTGTTTTTCAAATTTGCAAAAATTATTCAATATTAGCGACAAAAGGACATTTCTGAAAGATATCTAAAACCGTGTGAAGATATCAAACTCTTTTCTTCATTGCTTTTTCAACTTTCTATATAGCTTAATGTGGTTTTAACGCAGCTTCTTACAAAACAAAGAAACCGCTTGCAAATTACTAAACGAGGAGATCTACCATTACTTCTAAGCAGCATGGAACCTAGAGTAAGATCCTTAGACATTAAACACCAATGTCAACCATCGCATTGAAAACATTGAGATAAGCTATCAGATGAACCTAGAGTAAGATCCTTAGACAGTAAACACCAAAGTCAATCATCGCATTGAAAACATTGAGATAAGCTATCAGATGAACCTAGAGTAAGATCCTTAGACAGTAAACACCAAAGTCAATCATTGCATTGAAAACATTGAGATAAGCTATCAGATGAAGCTATAGTAAGATCTTTAGCCAGTAAACACCAAAGTCAATCATCGCATTGAAAACATTGAGATAAGCTATCAGATGAACCTAGAGTGAGATCCTTAACCAGTAAACACCAAAGTCAACCATTGCATTAAAAATATTGAGATAAGCTATCAGATGAACCTAGAGTAAGATCTTTAGCCAGTAAACACCAAAGTTAACCATCGCATTGAAAACATGAAGATAAGCTATCAAATAGAAAATTTGATTCGCCTTTTAATCATTGGCATTTATTATAGAAATATTAATAATTATTTCTCACTAATACCTAAGTGTTATCTTGCTTTGAAAGTTGAATTCAGCATAATATTCGAAATTTAATTTGACAGGGGCGGGGGGCGTTGGCAAAAATACGTGTGCTGAAAAGAGGAGCTGGTTGGAAAAAGGTTGGGCAGCACTGGACTAGCCGTAAGTAGAAATGAAGAAGTATTTACTACTAACAATGTAAATTTCAGGTAAATTTCTAAGACGAAAATAAATGTATTGCAAGCTGAAAGATGTTTTATTAAAGTGTGCTATTTATTAAGGGTATAATTTCGGAACGTGCTTTGTTGCAACGCTAGAGTTGTATTTTGAATATTTCAAGAGAGAAAAATCTTTTTAGTATAGTAATGTGTCAAATCCATGCGTTTTTTTTTTTTGATGTTATAAGTGTTTTTCAGTTAACGTGGCATGGACAAGATGGACCTATCACTTTTACAAAAACATCTTTCGGTTTGCAATACATTTATTTTCGTCTTGGAAATTTATCTGAAATTTACCTGAAATGAAAACAATATTAATACCTGATGATGAAGGAGCGAATTTCTTCGAAACTACTTGTAACAGAACATCTAATCCATCTCATAAGTTTAAACATAAGGATTGCTTCATTCAGAGAGTATTGATCTGTTAGTAATTTCGCCATTAATTAATGTGTGTAAAAATATATGGAAAATAGGAAAGAACTCGTTCGTTAGAATCATATTTTAAATAAATAATTATATATATATATATATATATATATATATATATATATATATATATATATATAAATTATCTCTATCTATAAAAGTCAGGATGTGTGTGTGTGTGTGTAACGAATGCACGGCCGCAATTTTCGACGAATTTGCACCAAAATTTACATGCACTTGCTCCAAGTTAGTGAAAAGGCCAAGACCGAATTTGAATTTTCCAACTCCCATCGATAGTAGAAATAATCGATTTTTTCATGCTTCTACGGCACTTTTCATGTAGGTTGCGGCTATTTTGTACTGGCCAGAGTGAGAGCCTATAGCTGGCTGCCACAAATAGGCAGGAAGATTCTATTGGCCAGCGTGAGAGCCAAAAGCTGACTGACACGAATATTAACTAGCATGCTAGCATGCAAAAAAAAAAAACAACAAAAAATGATAGCTGCATTCGTCAGAAGTGAGAAAAATTTAAATCTGCATGGCACTTTACTCCAATTGGCTCATTCGCTTGCTTAAACTCAACGTTGATTCTGATTCTGCAGAACTGGGTTGGGTGTGAAAAAGTATTTGTTGTTAACATTCTTTTTTCATTCAGTTTTTCCAGTTACGAGTCCTTTTTTAAAGCTGATCATTTTGTGTTCATTTTGTTTAGTTCTTTTTTCGTAACAGATTTAATGTTTAGTATAGAGCTTAGAAAAAATTCGCAGTGTGAGATAGGAAAGAAGTAAGGCATGTAGCAACATCAGCACGGCAAAGGGTACTCCTTTAAAGGAAAGGAAGGGCAAAATATTTTAAGTCAAGTGATAGCGATTGCTGTATGAGTCGTACGATTTTTGAATCAAAAACGGGCAACGCTGGGCCATGCTGCTAGTATATATATATATATATATATATATATATTGTCATCCACAGACAGACTGTTCCGCTGTATCACAGCTCATCAGTGTGGCTAGACGTCCGGTTGCCTCTAGCTAGGATCGAAACCCGTGACTGAGAGATTCGATTCGATTTACGGAAGAGTCATGCATTATTAGTCATTATTTACAAACCCACACTTCCTCCCCAGAGAGCTCATCTGAAATGATTTTTTCAGGAGCATATGTATAAATATAGTTTTAAGGTGTGCTATATTTATGGGATAAATTGCTCAATATCCGAGATAGAGCGTATGTAAATATAAATATAAAAGTGGTCATTGAAGTCAAAACTCAGAGGCGACAGGCTGTTTCATGCTAGATGCAATCGTCAGGCCGCGAATATATATATATATATATATATATATATATATATATATATATATATATATATATATATTATTGTAGAGTAACACACTAGTTTATGTATGATGAACTTCTCCGTCTTATAAGAATTATAGTTAGACGGTAGAGTCCCTCATAAATAAAATATGGAGTTACTTTCAAACAACAATTGAGTGCTCCATCCTAAACATATGGCTTGGCCACTCCATAAAACATGGGATCCTAGCTCAGATAGCGTAAATAACAGAATTATTAGCTTCAGCATGTCGGTCCTTTGCTTAGGCAATTTCTAACATATGTTAGAGTGTACAAGTCTTACTACGAATCTGATCAGAGAATTCTCGTAACAGAACTGACAACAACAGCAACAAAATATCCGTCTTCCGCTCACATATAGGACAAAGGACTCCTAAATATAATCTCTAAACGTTCAAAATGAAAATGTAAGATTAGAATTGTGTAATAAACTAGAATCTAAAATGATGTTCCTAAATCATTAACGTAGAGGAAAAAATAACGATATTTTATCCTCCTTAGCTGAAGTACGTGGGGCAATTCCAAGGATATTCAGACGAAAAAAAGATTCTCCAGTAGGACGACAATCCTGACCGTATCTATCTATCTATCTATCTATCTATCTCAGTCCGTTAATATCTATCTATCTATCTATCTATCTATCTCAGTCCGTTAATATCTATCTATCTATCTATCTATCTATCTATCTATCTATCTATCTATCTGTTCATATCTTTCTATGTCAGTCTGTTCATATCTGTTCATCTTCCTCTCTCCCTATCTTAGTCTGTTTCTATCTATCTATCTATCTATCTATCTATCTATCTATCTATCTATCTATCTATCTTAGTCCGTTCATATCTATCTGTTCATGTCTTTCTATGTCAGTATGTTTATATCTGTTTATCTCAGTTTGTTCATCTCTCTCTCTCTATCTCAGTCTATTCATCTCTCTCTCTATATATATCTATTTATCTTAGTCTGTTTCTATCTATCTATCTATCTATCTATCTATCTATCTATCTAGTCTGTTTCGTTCATTTCGTGCTAATGCCTCTGATAAAGACGTATCTTCCTACAGTTATGAGTTAAATTGCAGAGAAGACTTCTCGTGTTTTGAGTGGCAGTCAGCTGAGAACGAAAATTCTGAATTCAAAGGTGAAGAGCTCTGCTTGAACGTTTCGTATCCCCATGTTCTTTGAATTCATCTGAAAATAATGGCTGGTTGTACATCTTTCAACACTGCAATATGTGCGGCTATTATAGACGTTCTGTTCTAAATCGAACCGTTGGGTTGTCAATATATCAAAATCTATGTGAGAAACCATCGTACGAGTGTGAGTTGAAAAGTTCATAGACTGACTATGAAGCCATGATGCTAGAGCTGTGAAATCTTGCATGTATTAATTTTAACTCTTCTTATCAATAACTGCATTGTTTCTTTCCAATTAAACTTACATCTGTTGTTTTGACCAACAATTTGAATTATTTTTAAATTCATACTGTTGGTCAAAAATGTCATCGACAGCTGATATGGCGTCATCGTCACTGTGATACTAATTCCCGTCTATTTGTTTTTACATGTTGGGGAACAGATGATAGGAGATAGGGAAGGAGATGAACCATAATTAAAAGAAAAACTTATAGTTCTAACGAATGATTTATTTCATGGAAATATTTTGACTAGCTGTTGCTAATCTTGGTCACCTCTTTTAATTTGGGTGAAACAATGCAAAGAAACTAGACACGCTTACGATTTTAAATCATGAAAAAAACCGAGTTGACGTCGTTTAAACAGTAAGAGCATACGCTTTTTAGCGAAGTTCATGCCTTATTCGTATCAAATGAGACAAGCGTTCTAACTTTGATACGAATAAAGCATGGACCTCGCTAAAAAAACGTGTGCTTTTACTGTTTAAACGCCATCAACTCGTTTTTTTTCCGTGATTTGAATTTTACGAATTCAAATCACGGAAAAAAAACGAGTTTCTAGTTTCTTTGCATTGTTTCACTAAAATAAAAGGAATGAGCAATAGCAACAGCTAGTCGAAATATTTCCATGAAATAAATCTTTCGTTGGCACTACAAGTTTTTCTTTTAATTATGCAATTACCAACGGAGACAAGTGTCGTAAGTTGATGAACCAGTTCAAAGCCATAGTTCTAAACAAAAGCTACCCAAAACAAGGACTTGTGTACTGGAGCATTGTCTTGATGAAACAAAACTCCTTTCATTTTTTCCTGTGCGTTTGGTTTTGATAGCCTTTCGTAACTGCCTCAGAAATTTGGTATAATACTCTTCCCTTGTTTCTGTGGCCTTTTGAATATAGTCAATAAATACAATACCTTTTACATCCTATAAAATTGAGACCATCACCTTCCCTGCAGATGAAGCGATATTGGCTTTATTTAAAGCTGCTTAGAAAGAAGGTTTCCATGGCATAGGTTTTCCTTTGTCTCTGGATGAAAGTGTTGAACCCAACATTCGTCCTGGTTTAGAAAACGTTCAAGTAGACCAGCTGGATCTGTTTCAAACATCGTCAGGTTTTCCTGTGATGTGATCACCCTGGTGCGCTTTTGATCAGGTGTCAGAAAACGCAACACCCACTGTTCAGAAATTTTAGCCATGCCAAGTTCATTATGTAAAATATTCTCATCTCTCTCGTAGTATATATTAATAGTATTGGCTATTTCATAGTCAATCGCCAGTCATCCATCGCCATGCGGTGAACAGGATCAATGTTTTTTTCTCGGAGGTGGCAATTGCAGGAAGTCAAGACCATGTGTCGTCTTCAAGCCTCTCCCCTCCAAATTTAGTTACTCACTTTTTTATTGTTGAAAAAAGCTGGAGCGCCATATCCGAATGTAGCAGCCATGTTAGAATGAATGTCCTTGGAGATTAAACCCTTTCTCTGCGGGTACTTGTTAAAACCACAATGCCAGATCTTGACCTTTTTTAAGAGAAGTTGCCACTCGTTACATTTGAAGTCTTTTTTGAACAGTCAGATATCATTGCTGTATACACTTCATAGGTATGGAGGCTTGGTTGCTATCATTTCCCCTGGCCGGTGATCACTAGTCGTTTTAGTCCAATCCACTTGGTCGGTGTCGCGAAATGTTCTTTGGCTTCAGAGACGAAAAGCATCAGCAAAGAGAACTTTTAACTTAACTCTTACTTTATTAACCACGTCAACGGGTCCATCTTCTCAAGTGGGGGTTACTTACACCCTCTATAAGAAACCGCTTTTAAACACGAAATCTCACACGTCTATTACCTTTGACTTGTAACAACCAACTCTCGTAACACCCCTCCACATTGTGTGTGTGGGGGGGAGGGCACAAACGCAATCTAAGACTTCTAGCTAGCTTGACGTTCAAACGGCAACTTTCGTAAAACCTTAATTTAAAACTCGATCCTACGTTCGGCACAGCAAATGAAAATTGACTTCCCTATTTTGTCTACCATCTGACCTCAAAGGTCAGCCTCAGAAGGTATGAGCCAAAATACACTGCCACTAAAAATATAATAGTCTGAGACTATTATTTAACATCAGTTTGCCTGGTACGAATCAATGAGAAGAGTTGAAATTAATGAGTGCAAGATTTCACAATTCAAGCATCACCCCCTAATAGTCAACCTATGATCTTTTTATCCCACTCTCTTATATATATATATATATATATATATATATATATATATATATGTATGTGTGTGTGTGTTTGGTAGTTTCGAGTGTCGCGTCTTTACGATGAGTGCCTTAGATTTCGTTGTCAAACATTTCGCTTTATCTATCAAAGCAGCCTGACGATTCATTTTAAACTTCAAACATTCAACATGGTTATTAACTGAAGACTTCAAAATTCAAGACGTTTTATATAAATAGTTGTCGCTTTCTTTTTATCTGCGCAAAATGAACCGGTTTTCATCTTAACTGCGCAAATAGTACTTGCTAATAAATCCTTAAACTCCAGTAAGTATTTATTTTAAATATAGATAAAACATGAAGTAGCTGATAATGTCAGGCAATATATATATATATATATATATATATATATATATATATATATATATATATATATATATGTGTGTGTGCGTTCGTTTATATAGAGATCTTTCACCCCACGCAATATATTATGAAATGGACTAAGTCCAACACTTATTTTAACGTATTTTTTTTTATATGTTATTTTTATAGATACGAATATTTAAGTAAATGCTCTGTTTATAATAAACAGTATTAACAACATTAACCGGCCTGAATATCCGAGAAATCTCAATGAAAATATGTGTCCTCTGACATAAATCGAACCTGTATCCTCCACGGAACCGTCATATAGTTTAAAAACAGTAATTTCCTAACCAAACGCGCCCTCTGTAGCTGAATGGTATCGCACGTCAGGCTATATGATTCCCGGAGTGTCCGTCTACGAAACTCTGGAGTCGGGATGCTGAAGGTATCAGCTATCAACCAAATACCAAACATTTTGCTTGTGTTAATTCTCTCTCTCTTTCTCTGTCTCCCTCTCATCATTTTACCTCATGCAAGAGGGGAATGCTACTCGCTTGAGGATAAAATGGAACTAATGCTTTTAATTTAATTGCAAAGTTAAATTCGGGGCTTTTAGTTTCTATTTTTGAAATATAATTAGAATTGTGTAGCGGAAAAAACCATATTTTAAATCAATTAATTTATAATATTAATGCTCTGTAAATTTACATTGAGCACTATTTTGTAAAAATAAAAATATCTATAAGAACACCGGATTATATATCTTACTGTTCTTTTTTTTTTTATATACATACATACATACATATATATATATATATATATATATATATATATATATATATATATATATATATATATATATAGTTACTCTCGTCTGGAAAAAACCTTAGGTTATAGTTATGGCTCGCTTTAAAAAAATCAACCAACATTGATTGGTTAATACCAAGTCTATAGTAAAAAGATTGTCTTGCATTATAAAATCTGACAGCATAATGATAACATGACTGAGTGTTACAATAAAATCTATCATTATTTTAATTATCCAGGCCTGGCCAAGGTTAGATAAGAGATCGTCGGTTGCCCATGCAGCATTTCTCCTCTCTTCCCGTCACCGATGTTGTCCGAGGGAAAGACAATGGCCAATAGAGTTTGATGCCGACGTCGTTGCAGGAGATGCCAGAAGGAAGTTGAACATAATATTGGATTGTCTTAGAGACTCCGGTCCTTGATTTGCTTTATTCCCAAAGACTTTCCCAAGATTGGGTATGGCTGCAAAGCAGCGGAGGCTTAAACTCAGAGTTTTCCTTCTCTTAGATGGACTACCCTCCCAGGCTGACAAGTTCCATCTACCCGAAGTACATAAACACACACACACACACACACACACACACACACACACACACACACACACACACACACACACACACACAAATATATATATATATATATATATATATATATATATATTACACTGGATTATATTTTAAAATTATAATAATAGAAATAAATAATTAAATAAGTAAAGAATAAAAGTATAAAATTATCTCCAAACAGACGAGAACATTTTACTATTATTATTATTCTTTGATTTTGAGACACATTTCCTTCCGGGTTCCAAGTAGAGACCTAAGGTCAGAAACGACTTCCATTGATCAGTTTCATGAAAAACAAACAAACAAAAAACGTAAGATTACACATATTTTACATAGATAAACTAGTAGTAACCGAAACAATACAATGTTAAGACCTGAAACTCTTTTCCAACATATTTGAAAATACGTTAATAAAATAGATCATCATCATCATCATCATCATCATCATCATCATCCATCCACCTCCCCCCGTGACTTTTGTTATCGTCGTGGGAGATCCGAATGCAGGAGCCACAATTACAATTAATAAATAAGAAACGGACAAAAATAAAGGAATAAAGATACTTTGTGCAGCTTTATAATCTTCTGTCGCATATCATTTGGCAATTCTTTTGTTTTAACCAAGCTCAGATAGCGGGACAGTCT